AGCCGTTATTGAATTCTTGGAGGGATGTTCAGCTTCAGAGATTCACCAGAGGCTGAAACATGTATACAAAGAGTTCACAATTGATGTCAGCAATGTGAGAAGATGGAAGAAAAGATTCCGAAGTGGTAAGACTTCTTTGGGTGACAAACCACGTAGTGGGAGGCCATCAACCAACCCTGAAGACAAGGTTGATGACCTTATCCGTCATGATCGAAGAATAACTATTAGAGAGTTGTGTAATATACTAAATGTTGGATCTGATGTAATAGAAACAATGGCTGAACATCTAAGTTATAGAAAAATCTGTTCAAAATGAGTTCCAAGGAAACTAACCCCTGAGCAGCGTGATCAAAGGGTTCAACTATGCCAAGAGCTACTGAATCTCTTTGAGGCGCAAAAGAAAACCTTTTTCAAATATAGTGACTGGAGATCAAACCTAAGCATACCTTTATGACCCAGAAACTAAGGCACAGTCTTTAGAATGGCATCATCCCAGCTCACCTAACAAAATATTTCAAAGTGCAGAAGTCATCAAAAAAGGTGATGGCAACTGTCCTTTGGGACCCGCAAGGTGTAATACTGATTGATTTTCCAGAAGAAGGTAGCATGGTGTTCTACCTATGTTTTAACTTTACAAAAGATTAGGGTAGCTATTTTGAAAAAGATCAGAGATTCCTCTTAATTCCGCTAAGTTATACCATGGCATTGCACGGCCGCATACCTCCTTCCAGACTTCAGAGGCTGTCGGACAAATGGGCTGGTTACTGGTTCCACAACCAGTGACTTCTATTTATTATCCCAAATGGAAAAAGGTCTGTAAGTACAAAGATTTGAAGACCTACTAGAAGTAAAACGGGCCATAAAGACATAGTTGAGAAAACAACCTCCAGCATATTTCTAAAGCGTGGGTTCAACGCTGGAAGAAATCTATGGACTCCGCTGGAGAATATTTTGAATAATACCATTTGAATTAAAAATATGCATTACCTTTCGAGTTATGGACAAACACGTATTACTTTTGGAACAACCTATGTATATATGTTACAAATACTGCCTATTTTTCCTAAAAACGTATCGTACTTAAGAATGACTGAATTTTTTCCCTTTTTGATTATCTTATGCCACTCCTTCCCTGACACTAGACAATATAATGGACCTTATTTTACCAAAAGATGAAAATAGTTATAAATTAAGGAAAGTAATGTAAAAGACCCAAACAGCTGGCGATCGGCTACACCCCCAAGATGGTGGCTATTGTTTACAAACTTCCCGCCTAGCGCACCCACCATCTATCGGAGCTTAGGTACATAACACTTGCCGAGCTTACAGCGCGCCACCTACCAGAGCTTAGGCATATAACATTCACCAAGCTGCTGATATGTTATTTACAGTTACATGCTATGTACAATTCTGTTTATGACAATTTAATTTTAAAATAGTGCAGAATGTGACTTTTGCATGTATTGACAATATGTCAATAAAATTATGTTGATTGCCATTGTCTATATACCATAATACTATTGCTTGCCACTTATTTCAAAGACCTTAAAAACCATTTTCTAACGGTTTAATATTACCATGTACCATGTAAATTAAATATTCAATAAAATACGCAAAGAAATATTATACGAAAATATCTTCAAGTGCTTTGATAAAAACTAGAGAATCTCAATTATTTGCAATGCTTCAATGGTCTTTCTACTTTTCATTGTGTGCGAGGGCAATAACTACTGCATTTATTGTAGCGTGTACATCTTTCCTAAAAATTATCATATATATAGTTTTTATAAAATAAATACATTTCTAATTAATGTTTTCAAAATATAAAATGTTTAATTTTGTTCAAACATAAGACTTCCCACACAAATATATTTTAAAAAATTGAAATATTCCAACTAATGTTTATATTAACTTTAACATTTTATTTCTCCGAATGTTTAATTTAATTTTATCCATTCAGGCTTGAGGATTTTTTTTTTATTAAAATGATACTCAAGCGAGGAGGTTCTAAAGAAAATTCTGTTTAAATTAGCTTTAGGAAAGGAAAAAAAAGTTATGATTTCAAGTTTCTTTCCACAGCCGCTTAATAATCTACTTCTTGCATCTTTTTTTTCTTTCTCAAGTTGTTTTAACTTTTTTATTTGGGTTCTTCGACAATTGGCTTCCTACGTTGCTAAGCTAATTAGTTGTCCCGATTGGAAATAAAAAAAACTGGGAGATATTTCTTCCCTTTATATATATTGGGGTCGTTTATTGATGCTACAATTTTATTGAACTTTATGTCAACTCTTGGGTGATACAGACAGTGATTGACACTCCAGACAAACATGGGACAACGAGGAGTTGAACAAAGTAGAGGGAGTATTGCCAGGCTGCTATCTATGTAAACAGGAACTGGAGCAGTCAGGCCTGGAGGGAAGAAGTCTCTTGGCTGAGGTGGGGTCATTTATTTGTCTCTCTCAATCCACCGCTTCCATTACATTTTCTCTCCGTGTTCACATCAACCGTACAGAGCAGGAAGGACAAGCACCAATTCTGTCCTCCTAAGAGAACAAAAGTCTTTTATTTCCAGACTTAATTCTGGTCATCTACGGACAATGACTTTCCAGAATGGTTGCAAGGTTTTCCCACTATGTACTAAGTGTCAACCTTCAACCTGCAAAACACATTATTGACTGTATTGACTCATCCATTGATGAGCTCTACTCATTCCCAGCAGACACCATCAACAATCTCTACAAGCTTGATACCCTGATATGATTGAGCGGAGATAAGAAAGAAGAAGACATTATTGACTGCATTGACTCATCAATTGATGAGCTCTACTCATCCCCAGCAGACACCATCAACAAGCTCGATATCCTGATATGATTGAATGGAGCTAAGAAAGAAGAAGCATAGATATCAAGCCTGACAAGAGTACGTCAAAAGAACCTTTCTAATCTGGCTCTAGAAACAAATGGAGTAGGGTATATTAATGGCCATGTTTGACTGGTGTAATCCCTTGGATCGGTTTGGCAGCTTATATAAACTATTACCTCAATCATCTACCTTTTCTACCATCTCCCCATTTATTTCTTAAGGACGCGCCTTCTATATATAGGAAAATAGACATTTAAGCATTGAAGCTTCTTATTACATATAAATCAATATGAAAATAACACAAAAGTGAATTTGTACCTGGATCAGGTAGATAAATTAAGAAAAAATGCATTTCCTGATCGCGCAACTAAAAGTTGCTGATGGCTTGCGCCATCTATCTATCTATTGGACAATTATGGAATATTAAAAATCAACGATTAGTTGATATTTGTTCCGATAGATGGCGCAAACCATCAGCAACCTTTTGTTGCACACTCAGAAAATGCCTTTTTTTATTATTATTAATCAATATGTAATTCTACTGTCCTAAAAGCTTATGTCCATAGTTTGTTTGAACACTATTTCTAAGATTCCACCCTTCAGTGTAACATATATAAGCAGAATGATCCAATACAGTATTAGAGCTCTAAAAAAGCGGTCTGGTAGATTAAATTGGCGACACCACTGATGAGCCAAGCCCTCCCAATATTTTTTTCATTTCAGTAAGGACAGTAGAAATTTGATTTATATGTAAAAAGAAAGTTTCGTGGTTAAATGGCGCTCTGCCATCAAAAATACTCATGTATGTGCGGTCAGGATATGCCTTTTTTGTTTATATTTATATACAAGAATGTGCGGTAGAGAGGATGGCATTCATGTACCGAAAGAAGCATTTCTAAGCAGGATGTTCGGCCCAACCTTTATCACCACCTTCACATTCAGCATGTGGGTAATAAACAAAATGTATTGTATATGGATTTTAAAAGGAGAGATATCTCCCTTCCAGTATATAATTGATGGATTTTTTTTATAATATGATGCACTAGCGCGCCATCTGTTATCAAAATTCGAAACTATTTTAAACGCGTAAGATTCTTTTTAAAATTAAACAATTTCTACTGCCCTTACTGCAATGGAAAAAATTAATGGGAGGGCCTGGCTCATCAGTGGTGAACCCTCCCAGCGTTTTCGCCAGTTTAATCCACCATACCGCTGTTATATTGCATTTTTGGAACTTCCTTTTATAGTGATATACTGTTGCTAGACTCTTTGAATGGGTATTTTAGAAGAACTATGGACATAAGCTTTGTGTGAGGACAGTAGAATTACATACATTTATAAATATATAATATGCTTCGAGCAATCGCTCTTCCGCAAATATCAAATTGTTTCTTCTATTAGAACATTTATAATACGATGCACTAGCGCGCCATCTGTTATCAAAATTCGAAACTATTTTAAACGCGTGAGATGGAATTTTGCCGGTAGGATGTTTTTATTGATCTTTAAAAAGAAAAGTCACTTCTTCCAACAAAATAGACGTTAAAAGTAACGATGTCCATTAGTACGAAATCATGGCATCCAGGTTGGCTTTCTGGGTTTCCCAAAGCAGGCTTTGTCCCCGACGCTAGTTCGTTAAAACGGTCAATAGACGGCGCTTAGATTTAGCGTCCATTTTGACGGCAAGAGAAATCCTTTTTTTCCATGTGCATATAATTTTGAGGTAATATTTTTTCATATATGGATATAACATATCATTCAACATAATTGTTCTCGAAATATAATTAACTTTCCACATGAAATTTACACGGTGTGTACTAAATTTTAAACAAATATATTTTATTTTTTCTTTGCTAACTCGTTTGGTATTCTGAATCTTCTTTTAGGCACACTTTGGGGCATATTTGAAACTAAGCTCTAAAAGAAACGCTCCAGGAAGTTATAAAATTATTTAACATAATTATTAAACAGAAATCTGAAGTCCCGTTGACCCATATCTCACAATCTCTGATATCGAAGTAGCAATACCCTGATTCAATAATTCACATCTGAAACCTGGTCTCCTTGAAGATCATTACCCTCAAGCATTCTCAATGTCTCAATGTCGAAGAGATACAACCGCCATTAGGGAATTACAAAGAGGCCACAATAAAATGTCTATAAAACAGACATCGTTTTGCTTAACTTCGGTGATCGGATGAGAACCGGTGTTTTCAATGTGGTATGGCCATAAGCTAAATCATGTTTAGAAATGTCAAACTTCAACTTCAAAAATCTATTTTTAAAGGAAAAATGTGGAACTCCTACGGGTAGTCCTCTAGTCAATATAACACCATAAATTGTTAAGAGTATTATTTACAGATAATGGAACAAAAGCATCTCAGAATAGATATTTGGAAAAGATACCTGGATGACTTCTGTGTATACGAGAAAGAAGACGTATTTCTAATTTTACAGTCCCTAAATTCATACACGCTTTGCGTTCACAGTTGAAAACGAGTCCTTTCAGATACTTGAGCCAGTAAATATTTTTATTAAATCTCGACGTTTCGACAAAAATATTTTATCCTCCTCTTTTGTCGAAACGTCGAGATAATAAAAAGATTTACTGGCCCAAGTATCTGAAAGGACTCGTTTTCAACTGTGAACGCAAAGCGTGTATGAATTTAGGGACTGTAAAATTAGAAATACGTCTTCTTTCACGTATACACAGAAGTTATCCAGATATATTTTCCAAATATCTATTCTGAAATTGTGAAGAAATATGAATGCCGGCCAAGCAGCCTCTATCTTTACGAGTCCCATCAGGTTTTACAAAATTTGAACATTCTTTTCATCAGAACCTTTGAATCCAATTACCCGACAGTTTATTACAAAGAGAGACATCAAACCATACTACTTCACACAAACATTTCTATTCTTATAATATGTAGTGCACTTACAGTAAAAGCAGTCGCTAAATACCCACCATGATTATTATGGCCTGCACCACGTTTACTTGGGATAAATTTGTAAAAAGGTAGGTCATAAGTAGGTCGTTAGGAATCTTACAAAAGGAATCCATACGAATTGTTCCACGTCAGCTTTCAAAAGAATAGAAAATAAAAATACTATCCGAAACTTAACAATAAGAAGTTACCCACTCTCCTTCATTCTCAAACATAGATTCAACCCTTCCAATAGATCAAGTATATACCCGCCAACAAGGTGTATAAGCCAAGCCTTCCAAATAATATTTCATCGCAGTAAGTGCAGTGAAAAAATAATAGAAAAAATATATATAAAAAGGTCGGGCATTGATATTAAAAATAAAGAAGACATATCCTGACCAGGAGCACATGAGCTTTTTCGATGGCAGAGCTCTATCTAGTGGAACAGAAATCAACTAAACGTTGATTTAAGCTGTTCCCTGATATTTGGACAAACCATTTTCTTGATAAATCAATAAAAGCCCTTCATGAACGCGTTTTGGGCTGTTGGCCCTCGTCAGCGTTGAGCAGGCTGTACCACTACGACCAAACATCTTTTTGGTCCCAGAGGCTTTTTGAGAAACCAAGAAATGGGTATTTAAGACCAAACTTGCGTAAATACGCTTAACATGTGAAAAAAATAATAGAAAAAAAAAAGATCAGGTGTTGATATTTAAAAAATGTCATCTAAAAAGCATATGTGCTCCTGGTCAGGAGAGAGAGAGAGAGATATGCCTTCTTTATTTTTCATTAAGTACAGTGGGAAAAAGTATGTTTTATTTGAAAATAAACATTCATACTTGGATACATTCATATTTGGATGGCCACTTTCATCCTCTCACCGATATATCACAATAGGGGTAATTCTCTCCTCAAATGAGTCAATTAGGTAGGCGGTACACAAAACTTCTATATTAGCGGAATAAATACCGCTTAATTATCTGTATTATGATATTAGGTAGTTTCAGTTAATTATGATATTAGGTAGTTTATCATATCATTTGAAGCATGGAAAATTCCTAGGTAAAATTATCTTTAATTACAAAGGATTTTTTTTTAATGTGTCTACCATAACGTTTTCCTATTAGTAGATTCTGAAGAGATATTCCGACATACCATAGTTCAAGCTTTCATTCGAAATGACGGTTTCAAGCAAAATATTTCGCAAGATTTGAAAGAATTATCATACATTTTTATTCGTGGTACAGGCCATGATAATCTTGGTGGGTAGAAGTTGTCGACTGCCTTTACTGTAAGTACCCCACATGTCTAAACATGTGAAAAGAAGTTCTACTTTTGCACTTTAAAATGTGCCAGAGCTCTGTTTGGTTGCTTGTACTCTCTGGAACGGTTGAACTCTTGCAAAAATCGGGGGCCATTCGAGCATTTTTTTTATTAGAAAAAGTGTCCAATGAGGGATTCGATCCCGGGTCGTAGCGGTCGAAAACCAACGGTGTAGACAATCCTTCCACCGACCCCCACTAAATAACTAAATAAGTGAATATTTAAAGTCATTTAGGAATTTATTTAATTACTTTTCATCGCGAGTTATGATGGAATCTATTCCGCGCAGGATCCCACATTACATCCAACTGCTCTGTGATCCAAATATTAGCTGGGACATATGCTGGCATCTTGAGTCTGCCTCTAAAAGTTATTTTAAAAAGCCGCTCTCGGGGGAGGAATAAACCTAATCTCTCCCGGAAGGCGCCACTAAACTTTACTAGCGCTTTTTGTGATAAAAATTGGATGGCTCCCCGAAATAATCACAGAGGCTCAACCACCATGTGCCCCATGTTATAGACAGTGCAACACCAGTCTGATATATCATATACGTTATGTATTAATTATATATTGGAGAAATCCTATTAGAATTATTAAGTTTCCAAAATGATTCCTCTACCTAAAAAAAGTATTTATTACTTCCTCCTTCAATGTCTTCCTCTACTGAGGGTGGGCCACATGGTCTCTCCATATCTCCCTCCTTCAATGCCTTCCTCTACTGAGGGTGGGCCACATGGTCTCTCCATATCTCCCTCCTTCAATGCCTTCCTCTACTGAGGGTGGGCCACATGGTCTCTCCATATCTCCCTCCTTCAATGCCTTCCTCTACTGAGGGTGGGCCACATGGTCTCTCAATATCTCCCTCCTTCAATGCCTCCTCTACTGATGGTGGGCCACATGGTCTCTCCATATCTCCCTCCTTCAATGCCTTCCTCTACTGAGGGTGGGCCACATGGTCTCTCCATATCTCCCTCCTTCAATGCCTTCCTCTACTGAAGGTGAGCCACATGGTCTCTCAATATCTCCCTCCTTCAATGCCTCCTCTACTGATGGTGGGCCACATGGTCTCTCCATACTTCCTCCGCCATCCTCTTCATCTCCTCGTGTCGTCCAGTCCATTGTTTAAGATCGCCTTTGTATCCCCGTCGTCTCCTTTCCCTCGATCTCTTCCACTCAACACAGTCAGCAATGTCTCTCCTGCTGATCCGCGCATAAGTATTTATAATTGAACAACATTGTTAAACTTTATAAATTCGAGTTGAGAGTTCCACGTCTTCAGTATCGTCGGTGGAAGGGTGGTCCAAACCGTTGGTATTCGACCTCTACAACTCGAGGTCGATCCCGCATTGGACACTTTTTTCCTGATTTAAAAAAAAAATCTGCTCCAATGGCCCCCGATTCTTGCAAAAGTCCAACCCCACCAGCGAGTGCAAGTAACCAAACGGGGCTCTAGCAGATTTGAAAATGCAAAAGTCCAATTGCTTTCCACATGTGTAGATATGTGGTGCACTTACAGTAAAAGCAGTCACCTACTTCTACCCACCATGATTATCATGGCCTGTACCATGTGTACTAGGGATAGTTTAAAAAAAACTACTTACTCAGGCCGTCTTCTAATGCGGCTCTTTAGATGTGAAGCTGCGTGTAGTAATCACATTAATACTTACTTTATTCATTATTCATTGTTAGAAAGAAAAAATGTTATGGCTTTTTAAAAACTTTGAAATTTTGTAAATTGTAATTTTTGATTCTCCCGACTCAAAAGGTTGCCAACCCCTGTACTAGTGGGATTGGCCTTTTTTCAAAATTCGAAGGCCATTGAAGTAATCATTTTTAGAAAAAAAAGTGTCCAATGCGGAATTCGATACAGGGTCTTGGCTGTCGAATTAACGATTCAAACCCCTTCTAAACCAATACTCTAAAATTCCTTCAGTTAAATTTAAAATAAAATTCTCCAGATAGGTTGTGCGCAAGATTTATAGGTCATACCGTAAAAGCATGTAGCGTATGTTTTCTGCCAATTTGTATCAATTCGCATGTTTTTCTATCAATTTGTTATTCCTTTATAATCAATAGCGTCCAATCTAATGTAATGATATAGCGTGATTATATTGTATGGCGCATATAGATGGTATGGCGCAAGCCATCAGCAACTTTCAGTTGTACGATAAGGAGATGCCTTTTTTTTTTCATAATTTATGCACCTTATTCCAGTACAATATCACATTTGTACTATTTTTTCATATTGTGTCGCGGTTTCACGCAATTCTGGCCTTAACTACCCGTTTTATGATTTTTCAGGATGCCTGAATGACCTGTTTTTTTTTTTTGGTCGTTGAGGTACAGCTTGTACCACGCTGATGAGGGCCAACAGCCCGAAACGCGTCCGTGGTTAGCTTTTCTTGATTAATCAAGAATGGGTATTTGGCCAATTCTGGAATAATTAAAAATCAACGAGAATAGTTGATATTTATTCCGATAGATGACGAAAGCCATCAGCAACTTTCAGTTGCACGATAAGGAGATGCCTTTTTTCATAATATTGTATAATGTAGGTAAAATAATATCATTAGTGTAATGATATGTATTAGATTTATATGAACCATAACTATAGGTAACATATAAGCTATATAAAGTAATTAAATACGATAATGAATTTCAGATATTTGGAACCCCTCTCTCTCGCTTGTTCGGCGGTACATATACTAAAATTGGAACGATACAGAGAAGATTAGCATGGCCCCTGCGCAAGGATGACACGCAAAATCGTGAAGCGCTCTCTCTCTCTCTCTCTCTCTAATATTCTTTACGCTAAGAATATTACTTTCCTTCCAATCCTCTTTACACCTCGGACAGTGTCCCACTCTCAGACTGTTGTACGTACAAGTTGGTAAGATAGCTCTGTCGTTATAGCGGATCATATTGTGCTATCATCCCTTCATTCGGCCTAAAATGTGGAAATTATTTAACTATATCCA